ATCAAGCAGGTTAATTACCCCTGATCACTGTTATTTCTTCCTTCTCCCTGCGCTCTTCCACCATGAATGGGTTTGCACTGGTTGGCTCTGCAGTGGGGCCAGCACCACTGTTCTCTCTAATCGTTTCCATCTGTGTGTGGAATAATTTTATGTGCACTGAGGCATGTCCAAAAGTGCACCACCCTTTGAAACAACACCTCGCTGTGGACTCTCTGCTAATCAGCTGGATGGCGTTTGAATCTCTTCTCTCAAGCGCCCAGCTTACAGGGAACCGTCAAACTTCCTTTTGAAATGCCCAAGGAAAGAACGAGCCCCCAGCCTGTGGTAGGAAAAGCACTTGGAGTTCCTTTGCATATCATAGATTCTAAAGCTGGAAGGCACCACTGTGATCAACTGGGGCTACGTCTACACTACATGTTTTCTCGGCAAAAAATATGCTAATGAGGGACTCGTTTGCATGAGTCGTGATCTCATTTGCATATTTTCTGCAGATCCATTTTTACCTAGGGGTTTTTGGGCAGTAACAAGCAGTGTGGACAGTTTCTTTTTGCGCAAAAAAACCCTTTTCCCACAAGATCCTTATGCCCCCAAAAAGGAGGTAGACCGATCTTGCGGAAAAAGGGGGTTTGAACAAAAAGAAAACATCCACACTGCTTGGTTTTGCACAAAAACCCCAGCGCAAAAACGGATTGGCAGAAAATATGCAAATGAGATCACGACTCATGCAAATGAGTCCCTCATTAGCATATATTGCCAAGAAAACTTGTAGTGTAGACGTAGCCTAAGACTGCTGAAATGAGTCCCTCATTAGCATATTTTGCCAAGAAAACTTGTAGTGTAGACATAGCCTAAGACTGCTACATAGGGCGGGAATGAGCCCCAGGCTTCCTGGATGGCGTTGAGACGCTTACCCCAGAACCACCCCTTCAGATTCTTAGCTTTAATCCAGCTGTTGCAAGGGCTTATCCACCATTTGAACCAAGAGTCCTTTTGCACCCAAGGGAGAATCAGACCCTTTGGCCAGCAAGGCACTTTCCGGGATGACAGGGCTTCATGTCTGAAAAAAATCCACAGACGAGTATTAATATATATGTAGGAAAGAAATGACGTTGTTGTTACCTGCCGGTTTTCTCCATCGGGTCTGCGCAGCTGCCAAGGAACATGCATGGAACTAGGTGGCAGAGAGCTAAGCACACTTCAGGGATGTATTGCAATGGCCTTTCACCTCTGCAGCTTTCAAGACCCATCAGAGATGGAGCCAAAGTTTGGATTTTGCAAGGGGATGAACTGGATTTTTATCCGAACTAGCAAACTCAGGGGATTCAGACAATAGGCTCCTAATTTGGCCTCTCGCTAGTTCAATGGGATTTAGGCCAAAAGTCGAAATGACTTTGTGTTCCTGAACCAACTCCATTCCTCCGTGATTCACCGGTGTATATTCGTCTGTTTTTGCTTCCTGGGTGATATTGCCAGGTGTGTAGCTGTTAAACAGCCACTTGCGTTCCACGCCAGAAGTGGCTGCATTTCAGGGATGAGGGGCATAATTCCTAGGCACATCAGATTTTCCAAAGAACTCAACACCCGATTATCTAAGACTCAGAACCCACAGGTGGGGCCAAACTGATCCAAAAACTCAGCTGCCAGATAGGCACAACTAGGGCCAGAATTGCTGAAGTGTTCATCTCCCCTTGTGACTGAGGGCCCGAGTTTCCAAAGAGGTAAAATCCAGCCCAGTTTTGGGTGCTGCGCTTTTGTGGAAAATCAAGCCCGTGGTTCGTAACTCCGTAAAGGTTCTGGGAGCATTGTGGAAGTGACAGCTGTTATATAAGAATGGCAGCACCTGATTATACCATTGCAGCAGCGAATGGCCCAGTTAGACACGTCCTCAGAGACGCAGAGAAAGCCTGAAGGTCTTGTGACTTCAGTCAGGCCGCTTACACGCAAAGTTTGGCTGCTCGTGTAACAGGAACTTGCCAATCCTGCTGCATCTCTTGGTTTTAAAAATACTTCAGGGAAACTTCTGTCCTTGGTGAGTCAGAAGGGGGGGAGAGGTGGTGCAGAAGACTCCGAAAATGATTCCCCCAGAGACAACAGGATTAAAAAAGAGAACGAAATAATTCAGGCTGCCAGCTTCCCCGGCCAAATCGTTCCACGTTAGTGCTATACCACCATCTAGTGGCTAGCAGGGCTCCTCCCTTCACAGTCCAGCAGTCACTTGGTTGCTTTCATGGGTGGTGGGTAATACAGGCAGGAGATGGCATTGCCTTCCCAAAACTGCCTTTACTCTTCTCTAGCCACTCTGGGGCCACAGCACAGCAGCCCTGCTCTCCGGCTGGCCAGGAAGGATGAGGCGACTGCCCCGGGCAGTCTGGCTATCTGGCAAAGATGGGGCCACGTCACCTGCTGGGATGGGGGACCCGCTAGCTATGACTACACTGGCGGGTTCTTGCGCAAGAACAGCCGTTCCTCTGCAGAGCATCCACACGGCCCGCCTGCTCTTGTGCAAGAAGATTTACGGGAAAGCGTGGGAAGAGAAGGCTTCTTGCACAAGAACTACGCTCTTTTCTAACAAATGTAAGCCCTCTTGTGCAAGAGGGTAGTGTGGACGCATGGCAGGGGATTCTCGCACAGGAAAGCCCTATGGCTAAAATGGCCAACAGAGCTTTCTTGCGCAAGAGAGCGTCCACACTGCCATGGATGCTCTTGTGCAAAAGCACGTGGCCGTGTGGACGTGTACTTGCGCAAGAACCCGCCAGTGTAGACATAGCTTAAGGGTACATCTACACAACACCCTTACCTTGAAATAAGCTATGCAGCTTGCGCTACACAAACTGTGTCGCTTATGTCAAGGTTATTTGGAAATGGCTTATTTCAAAATTGTAAAATGCTGTTCCGAAAAGTCCCTGAACCCTCATGGAACAAGGGTTACAAGGTCGCTGGAATAGCATGCCCATTATTTTGAAATCTATTTAGAAATAACGGGTGCATTTAAAGACGTGGAATTGCTGTTTTGGGATACTTCTGGTCTCCCGAAATAGCCGTGCTGGCTACATATAGCCTAAGAAGGCTGGGGGCAGTAACAGGGGGCGGAGATTGGTCTTGACTCCATGGGGAGGAAGCGAAGGGAAGGTCGCGGAAGGGGAGAGCCTGAGGCAAAAGAGGAGGCAAAAGAGGCAGGGCTGGAGCCTGCTTTGCCCCGCTGCGTTTTCACCCACCATCATTGCTTCCCCAGGGTAATTCTATTTCTCTGCACATGGCGCTCGGAAAGACGCGCATGCCCGGGTGCAGCGAGGGGAGTCAGACTTTGCTGAAATGTTTGTTAAATAATTCCCTGAGAAATCATTAACCCTCATCCCACTCGTGACGAGGGAGGAAAATGCTCCGCCAGCTGCTGGCCTGCTTGACGACGTCGTCTGAAAGGAGCCGGATGGAGGAGGTGTTAAGCTAACCTGATCTGGAGCGATCCAGGAGCCAGACTCCTTCTCAGCTGCACTTCCGGCTCTTGGAGCCACGATCGCAACCGAACGGAACCTGCAAGTGGATGGAAATGGCCACGTGAGAATAACCCTCGCCTGAAGTGCTTCCCCTTGCCCTGTTCTGGGGTCCACCAAGCAAAGCTGGCGTTAGACTCACTAGGGCCCAGGGCAGAGAGCCAAAGCCCTGCCACGCAGGAGTGAAGGAGCTGGTAGGAGGAGCTTGAGCAGTGAGTGGGAGGGGCCGCCCCTGCTGCCACCCCGTGGCCCTGCCTGTGGGCGAGGATTTGGGGGAAGGGGTGGGGCTTGGGAGCTGGGTATGGACACCCGCAACCTGGGCTACAGGGCCTCCCGGGCCGGACTGTGAAACTGCCCAAGCCGTAGATGGCCCACGGGCCGGGAGTTTGAGCCCCCTGTGCCACAGGCTACCCTGTGGGGATGGGAGAGAATGTTCCATTCTCCAGGGCTGGCATCCTTTTGGCTGGTGCCCCATGCCCTACCTTATTCACACCGCTGGCTGGAGGGCCCCAGCCAAGATCAGCCCTGAGCAATCCTATTTACACCAACAGGGCTGCTCCGGGGAGAAACGTAACGTAAGAACGGCCAGACTGGATCAGACCAAAGGCCCATCTAGCCCAGTGGCCTGTCTGTCAGCAGTGGCCAATGTCAGGTACCCCCAGAAGCAATGAACAGGACAGGGAATCATCCAGTGATCCTTCCCGTCACCCATTCCCAGCCTCGGAGAAACAGAGGCGAGAGATCCCATTCCTACCATCCTGGCTAATAGCCATTGATGGACCTATCCTCCATGAAATTATTTACTTTTTTTTTAAGCCTGTTAAAAGTCCTGGTCTTCACAACATCCTCTGGCAAGGAGTTCCACCGGTTAACTGTGCACTGCGTGAAGAAAAGCTTCTTTTTGTTTGTTTTAAACCTGTTACCTATTCATTTCATTTGGTGACCCCTAGTTCTTATGTTACGGGAACAAGCAAATAACTGTTTTCCTTATTCACTTTCGCCACACCAGATGGGATTTTATAGACCTCTATCACATCCCCCCTCCTTAGTCTCCTCTTTTCTAAGCTGAAAAGTCCCGGACTTTCTAATCTCTCTTCATATGGCAGCCGTTCCAAACCCTTCACCATTTTTGTCGACCTTTTCTGAACTTTTTCCAATGCCAAGAGATCGTTTTTGAGATGAGGCAACCACATCTGCACGCAGTATTCAGGATGTGGGTGTCCCATGGATTTATATGGAGGCAATAAGGTATTCTCTGGCTTTTTCTCCATCCTGGTTTTGTAATGTTTCCCATCATTCTGTTTGCTTTTTTAACTGATGCTGCCCATTGACTGGATGTTTTCAGAGACGTAAAGTGAAGCGCGGACTTTAAAAGTTTGCAGGATCAGGGCGGGCAGCCGAAACATACCATTGGGTCGGACCTCTCCTTCCAGCCGTGCCGCAAGCTGGCAGCCAATGGGCATCTTGGAAATCCACCTTAACTCCTAGTCCCGCCCTCCCTCTGAAAATTCCTACTCCCGGCTTCTGAAAGCGCAGGGCTGCACGGTGGCTTGTGCTGGGAGAACCAGGCAGGCTGCCTCTGCAAAAAGGAAGCCCCTTAAGGAAGAGCAGAACTCGGCAAGGAACCTCCCACCTGGTAAGGAGCATTGGCTGGGAAGGAAGGGAGACATGTGGGGGCTGCAGAAAGTCCTAGATCCAGGGTGTGTGTCTCAGACACATGGGCACAGAGTGAGCGCTGGCTGACAGTTTGCCTGAGAGTTATGCTCACACACAGGAGAGACACAAACCCTCTCAGGCTGGTCCTAGGCATTAGCAGTGTAGTGTTTCAGCGGGTGTTCTGTAGGTGTCTGAAGTCTGGTGTCTGGCTGGGCAGGTAGCTAGAGGAGGGAGGGAGAGAAAGTTACTCCAGATTCATGAGTCAGGAAAGAATCAGCCCCTTGTGTCCTGGACGCGTGAGCTCGAGTGCCGTGCATGGTGCGTTACATGCTGCGGCTGCCCGTGGGGGTGTGTGGGGGGGTGTCCGTGTGCACCTGTCTAATGAATAGTTTGCTTTCATGGAGCACTGGATGTGCTGCTCTCCTAGAATTTTGCACTAGGAGGAGGAATGCCATCCTTAGTTACAGATGGGGAAACTGAGGCACGGAGGTCAGGTGACTTGTCCAAGCGGCATGCTTAGTTACAGATGGGGAAACTGAGGCACAGAGGTCAGGTGACTTGTCCAAGAGGCACAGTGATTCTGGGTCAAAGCCAGGACTAAGTGTCTGGTGGTCTGACCAGCAGGTCTAGCCAGCAGTCCATTTCTGCTCCCTCTCTCACCCACTGCAGCTGTTCCGAATCCTGGTTCTTGATTTGTGCCTGTTTTGAGAGTGACTCTAGATGTCCAAGCTCCACCCTCCTCCTCCTCCTCCCCCTCCTGGTCCTTATCCCAGTTGTTCCAGGCTGGCCAAGCATCCACCTTGCGTGGGATGCAACGACCAGATTTATCAACCTCCTTCCGCTCAGACTTATTTTTGGGCCCAGACGCGAGGGCGGTTGCCTTCCATCTCCAGTGGGTTGCCAGGTCTGTGGAATGGGGCCTCCTCTCCCCACACTCCACGCCCCAGCCCTGGGGCTGTGTGGAGGGAGGGCAGCGTGGGAGATCTGGTGCGTGGCTGCGTTGGTTACTGTAGCACCGCGTGGATTCCTGCTCTGGGAGGGGGCCTTAGCACCAGCGTTGCGGACGTACAACAGGATTCATCCCTTCGCTTCTCCTGTGAGTTCTGTTGTGAGGCCATTTCTGGGCAACGCAAGGCAAGTCGACACCAAATGGCTTGGTGAAGAGGGGCTGGCCTGAGAGAGAGATGGGTGTGGGGGCGCTCCCTGAGTTCGCACCCTGGAATGGTCTCTGGAGAAAAACAGGAGTTTGAGCCTCTTGTGATTCAAGTATAAAGGGCCAAATACTCAGGTGGTGTGAACAGGCTCAACCCTTTGGTTCTACATCCATTTACGCCAGCTGGAGATTTGGCCTCATCTTTCTGGCCAGCGCTTCTTGCAGCACAAGACTCATAGACTTTAAGGTCAGAAGGGACCATTATGATCATCTAGTCTGACCCCCTGCACAATGCAGGCCACAGAATCTCACCCACCCTCTCCTAGAATAATCCTCTCACCTATATCTCAGATATTGAAGTCCTCAAATGGTTTAAGGACCCCAAGATGCAGAGAATCCTCCAGCAAGTGATCCATGCCCCATGCTACAGAGGCTAGAGTTTGGCCACGGAAAAGGGACACGGAAGGGGATTTCGACGTAGCATTCAGACCAGACCAGGGGATCAGCATTAGCCTGGCCACTAAGTGACAGTCTATACAGATATTACACGCTTCTACATTGGCCTTCAGCCATTAGCCTGAGATGGGGGCGGGGCTTCAATTGTAAGCTCTTTGGGGCACAGACCATCTGTTTGCATTGGGTGCGGTAAAAGTCCAGACCGGTGGGGTCCTTGCATAACGGAAATTCGAAATAACAAAATAATAAAGGTGGGAGGCCTTTTTGGATGAAGGGTGCAGCAAGCATCCATCCCTCCTTATCCTGTTATGCTTCTAAGAAGCACACAGGTCTTTTTCAGAGGAAAAGGCAATGTGCTGTGTTGGTTAAGAATACAGTATGAAAAGCAGCATCTGCATTTACACACACACACACACACACACACACACACACACACACACACACACACACACACACACACACACACACACACACACACACACACCCTGCAGATGGTTTATAGTTACCAGTCTGTCATGGCTCAAGTCAATCTTACTGGCCACGTAAGAATGAACATGAGTGAGGAGTCGGGGTTTGTCGATCACAATTCGAGTTTCTTCTGAGGCGTGGCTTGCAGGACCTAAGCCAGCGTCCCGTGGCAAGAACATCCTGTCTTTATACTTGTGAGATCCCGTTTGTATCTATGGATTTTGCATACTGCTGCAATACTCAATGTGTTCATTTTGGGGGGTTTCCGCAGTGCATCCCTTGCTGTTTATGGTCAGGCTTCCCTTGGCGATCCCTTGTTTGCCATCTCACCTTTTGGGGGTCTTGGCCTGGCTCCCAGGTTTGTTGATTCTGCTGATCTCATTCGAGTATCGAGCACAATGGATGCTCACGGAGCGTCTCCACATTTCTCACGTCTTTTTGACCGTCTGGACCATTGTGGCGGCTTTCACACACCTCCTGCACTTACTCCAAACAATGCACAGACAATTTCCCGGGACACGATGCCTTTCAAACGAAGGAGGACGGAGTTACAACTTACCTTGCAACACAGACATTCTCCAGTCATGAGGAGCAGGGTGAAACAGAAGCCTACACAACTCCTAAGCAAATCATTATCCAGGACTTCCTGTCATCATTATACTTATAGTCTTAAGCCAACACTAAAATACATTTTAGCTACAATCTCCTCCAGCAGAAAGGGCCCAGGCGATCTCACTAAGCTTGCCCTGCCAGGACATCACCTTTCAGGTCAAGTCACCACCCCACTGACCCACTTGCCATGGCTGAATCTGGTAGGAAATAGTCCCAGATGAAATCCCTCCTGGGGCGGTGACAGCTCCAGCCCCTCAGAGAATCCTAGAGCTGGGAGAGACCTCAGGAGTCAGTGACTCCAGCCCCCTGCCTGAAGCAGGACCAACCCCAACTCAGTCATCCCGCGAGGGCTTTGACAAGCCGGGACTTTAAAACGTCGAGGGATGGAGATTCCACCCCCTCCCTAGGGAACCATCCCAAGGCTTCCGATCCTCCTAGGGAAACAGTATTTTCTAATATCCAGCCTAGATCTCCCCCACTGCAACTTGAGACCATTGCTCCTCATCCTGCCATCTCACCATCCTACCCACTTCCCCCTCCTCCACCCACCTGCCCTCAGACCCAGCATCGTTTTCCTCTGCAGAATCTGGCAGGTTGCAGGCAGCCGCTGGAACCCGTCCATCCCGGCAGGAAAGCGAGTGCAGGGTCACTCTGGCACGAGTCAGGGCGTCTCGTTTCTCAGACTAATGAGGGCCGAATCAACATTTCCCACCCCGACTCCTTGGGGCCCATGGGGGAACGGACTTCCTTTCCTCGCTGGCCCTGCCTTTGCCTTTTAGGAAGCAGCATTCGGGAGCAGAGCCTCTCTTTGGGGAGGAAGGAGCATCATGCCTGCACTGCAGTTTGTGCGCTTGATGAGGCCTCGACTTAGGGTTGCCAGATGGTTTCAGCAAAAATACCGGACACACTTGACATGACATCACAATCGACATTGTATCTTATTTAGAAAACACCGGACAGTTCTATTGTATCATTTCTATTTTCTCAATTTGTTTCCCAAACAGAAAGCTCAAATACTGGACTGTCCGGTTCAAAACCGGACACCTGGCAACCCTACCTCGACTCCCCTCACAAGCTTACACTTTGCGGGGTGGGGGTAGGCCACTGTTCCCACTGCGTTGACCTGCTTTCAATGCATTGCTTCCCTCTGCTGTGTGTGCAGCGGCAGTCAAAAGCAAATAGGATGTTAGGAATCATTAAAAAAGGGATAGAAAATAAGACAGCAAATATCTTATTGCTTCTATATAATCCATGGGATGCCCACCATGGATTTATATAAAGGAAGTAAGAGGTATGCATACTACCTGCAAAATTGTTGCCTCATCTCAAAAAGCATTAGAAAAAGTTAAGAAAATGGCAACAAAAATAATTAGGGCTATGGAATGGCTGCCACGTGAGGAGAGATTAACAAGACTGCGATTTCTCATCTTAGAAAAGAAAAGGCAAAGGGAGATACGATAAAAGTCTTATTTACTTTCTTCATGATTGGTATGAAGAAAGTAAATAAGGAAAGGTTATTTACTTGTTCCCATAACACAAGAACTAGGGGTCACCAAATGAAATTATAGGTAGAAGAATTAAAACAAACAAAAGGAAGTAAGGAGGCTAGGACTATAACAGGGTTTAAAAGAGAACTAGATAAATTCATGGAGGTTAAGTCCATAAATGGCTGTTAGCCAGGATGAGTAAGGAATGGTGTCCCCAGCCTCTGTTTGTCAGAGGGTGGAGATGGATGGCAGGTGAGAGATCGGAGAACTTAAAGGCTGCACAAGTATGCGTAAGGGCGAGAGTCAAGCTAGGTGTTAAAAAATAAAATGCTCGCAGGGCTGGGTGAGGGTGATACAAGCCCACCCAGATTTTCCTGACCCCAGACACTCTCAGAACCGCAGTCCAGGCCACGGCTGTGTCCAGCATGTCACAGGATACCAGAGCCAAAACTAAGGTTTTCTGCACCTGGGGCAAGCGACTGAACTGCCCTCTCCTCCCGTCCCAAAGAAATGATAAAATTCGTAATTTTTTGTATTCATTGCACATGTTGTTAATTGCACATGCATTGAGATTGCAAATAGATGATAGTTAAGATGTAAATGAAATAATATTTTAACTCTCTAATTTTTAATTTTGCACCCCTAAAGGTACTGCACCTCCCCTGCCTTGTTACGGCTCTGCAGGACACTTTGTCTATGACCATAAGGGTTCTGCTCCTGCCTCTGGAAGGGCCCTATGCTGGGAGCCTGGAATATTGATTCATTTATGTGTGTTTCTTCCCCTTGCAGATCCAGTTCCCGGGAGCCGAGCACCATGAACTGGGGTGTATTTGAAGGGATCCTGAGCGGGGTGAACAAGTACTCCACGGCCTTCGGGCGCATCTGGCTCTCCTTGGTTTTCATCTTCCGGGTGCTGGTCTACGTGGTGGCAGCGGAGCGGGTGTGGAGTGATGACCACAAGGACTTTGACTGCAACACGCTCCAGCCGGGCTGCTCCAACGTCTGCTTCGACCACTTTTTCCCCGTCTCCCACATCCGCCTCTGGGCCCTGCAGCTCATCCTGGTCACCTGCCCCTCCCTGCTGGTGGTCATGCATGTGGCCTACCGGGAAAGCAAGGAGCAGAAAAACCAGGAGGCAAAGGGGGAGCATTGCCGCCGGCTGTACCCCAACCCCGGCAAGAAGCGCGGAGGGCTATGGTGGACCTACCTGCTCAGCCTCCTCGTGAAGGCCACCGTGGACGTGGTGTTCCTCTACATCTTCTACAGGCTGTACAAGAACTACACCCTTCCCGTCGTGGTGAAGTGCGAGATCCCCCCATGCCCCAACATCGTGGACTGCTTCATCTCCCGGCCCACGGAGAAAAACATCTTCACCCTCTTCATGGTGATCACGGCCTGCATCTGCATCCTGCTCAACCTAGTGGAGGCCTCCTACCTGGTGGGGAAAAGGTGCCGGGAGGCCCTGCTGTCCAGGAGCGAAAGGAGCAGGCGGGAGACCAGGCGGTGCAGGAGCATCGTGCATCATGCATCGTGCGTCGACGAGCAGCACAACTTCAAGTCAGGAGGGCAAGTTCTTCCTGAAGCACGTTACAAGCCAGCCACGGTTCTGGTCCCCACTGGCTCCCAGAAGGCAGAAGAGGTTCTCTCCTAAACGGAGGGGAAGACCTAGGGAGGCCATCTCCATACAGAACGGCCCTTGTTTTAGACCAGCCCTTCTTGTTGGCGGTGCCTTTGGACGTCATGAGCCAAGATCAGCTCCGGGGTCAGCAGCTGCTCCCCTCACACACCTGGGTATTAACTACACCAGGTGGTCCCCCTGTGTTGCTTTGGTCTGGTGGAAATAAGAATGGCCCCTCGGGTATAAGGGAAGTTCTGCAGGTCACAGGCTGGAGAGAAGCAAAAGGGGAGCACCAAGGAGCCTAGCACTAGGATTTAGACTGAGGAGATTTGATCTGTTCTTGCCTCAGCTGCTGCCGGCCGCTCCTATTGACAGGTCACAGGGCTAGAAGGACCGGATCTCAGACCCAGCCTGGCAATTCCTGTGTCCTGTTATCATGCAGGAATGTGCCCGCCTGTGTTTTCAGTAGCGTGTCCTGCCTGAGGGGAAAAGCTTCCTTCCTTGCACGGAGGTCCAGCCTGAGAGAGGAGTGCAACGGAAGGACCAAGCCAGACTCCTCAGCTGAGAATTTCTTAGACAACAGACCTCATGCATCTGGGGAAACAGAGCCAGGCCCTCGTGTCTGTCCCTGAGGGGAGGTGCCATGTGGCCTACGGAGGCTGGGGAATCCCGGCACAGCTGTGAACGCCCCTTGGCTTGGAAGGTCTAGGTCAAGCAGATATTTTCTCTCCATGCCTGCTGGAGAGAGGGACATGAGGTCTCCAAAATGCCTCCTTTCCTGAGCAGTTCCTTCAGCTTTGCTTAACCCCGAGGGACCAACTGCGGGTAGCAGAAAACACCGGAAAGAACAGGATACTTCCCAGTGAAGATAATGCTGCGTTTTCCTGTCTGTGGGAAATGACCGGTCCATCCTGCCAGAGATCCAAGTCATGGCAACTGAACATGGCTAATGCTGGCGACGGGGGAATCCATTCACCCTCAGGCTACGTCTACGCGACGAGTTTTCTCGGCAAAAAATATGCTAATGAGGGACTCATTTGCATGACTTACTGTCTCATTTGCATATTTTCTGACGATCTGTTTTTGTGCTACGGGTTTTTGTGCAAAAACAAGCAGTGTGGATGTTTTCTTTTTGCACAAAATCTCCTTTGTCCGCAAGATCAGTAAACCTCCTTTTTTGGGGCATAAGGATCTTTCGGAGAAAGGGGGTTTTGCCCAAAAAGAAAATGTCCACACTGCCTGTTTTTGCGCAAAAACCCGTAGCACAAAAACAGATCGTCAGAAAATATGCAAATGAGACAGTAAGTCATGCAAATGAGTCCCTCATTAGCATATTTTTTGCCAAGAAAACTCGTAGTGTGGGCGTAGCCTGAGGGAATTAGAGTTTTGCTGACTGTGGGGAAGGGGGTAAAGGGCGGCCAAAGGGAAAGAAAAAAATCTAGAAATACTGGTTTTTAAGGCTATTATGATCATCCTCGCTGAAAACAGGTCAGAGAAGTCCCCCCAGGCCTTCCGGCATCAAGCCCCTAACTTTTGAGCTAGAAAGGCATCTTGTCTTGGTTTTAAAGACATCAAGGGGTGGAGAATCCACCACCTCCCTTGACAGGAAGTTGTTCCAATTACCCTTGTTATTTAAACACCTACCTTAATTGGTGGTGCAAGCGCTGCTGTGTAGGTGGCCCTCTTCCTATGGAGACAATTATCATTAAACAACCCTTCGCATGCTTCAGGGAGTGGCTGGTGGTGATGGAGCCACATCAGGAAACTGCGTCATGCTGCCCTAAATTCTCAGCTACCTCATTCCCCTTCCCAAAAGAACAGTGATGATGTCAGGTCAGTGGTACTGGATGGTTGTTGTGTTCCACCCCAGAGGTGGCAGCATTTCAAGGGGGAGCTGCACCTGGAGGGTGGAATTCCATACTCCTCCCGTGTTCACAACGCAATGCAGCAGATGTGGCACTGATGAGGTTTTGCAAAACAATGGGAGGTGGACATGAGCTAGGTCTACTCTATATTGGAAAGACTTTGTCCGTCCGTCCGTCTTTCTGTCTGCTTGTCTGTTTCTTCAAGAACTCCTCCTAAATGGACCTTCAGCTGTGGTAGGCAGCTTCCTCTGATCATAACTTAAAGCAAGGTCAGGGTTTGGTTGGGCCAGGAAAAGGCTTGCTTGCCATAATACCCTACAGATAAGGGCTAGAATCACCAAGCAGATGAAAGGGGCTTGCTGGGGGCATGTCCCCTTCTCACCCCCCCCCCAGGACTGCCCCAGTCCCAAGCCTCCCACCCAGGCATGTTTGGGGGGGGAAGGCAGTGCAAGGGACTGAGGCTCCCTCCCTCCCAACTCATACAGGGATGTTACTGGCTGTTCCCCTTTGCTAGGGAGCAAGGGGAAAGTGCACAGCTTGCTGCATTCCTCACTCTGGCCGGGGAGCACAGAGGAGCTATGCACTTTGCTGTCACTCCCTGGTGGCAAGCAGCCCTGGTACAAATTTCAGGGGAGGGGGGAAGTTTGCCCCTCCCCAAACTCTTCCCCCTCCCCCCCACACACCCAACCAGTCCCCTGCACAGAATCCCTCCTCACCCCCAACCCTGCTTCCTGCACCCCCATAGCAGGGCCAAACTCTCCCCCCTCCCCCCCACACCCCCAACCAGTCCCCTGCACAGAATCCCTCCTCACCCCCAACCCTGATTCCTGCACCCCCATAGCAGGGGGTCTCCAGAAGCTGTGAGGTTGGTGCCTATAGATGAGGGGTAGCATATGGAGCCACTGCTGTACATGCCAGCTGCTTTCAAGGGAGGGTGCAGGGTCAGGGCAAGCAGATATCTGGCCACTCCTAGGGTGGGGGGTGGGATTTGAACCCACCACATGGCACTTCTCAGGCAGGTGCCCTATCCCACTCTAGAACTGACCTGCCTTCCCTCCCCTGTGTCCCTCCTTAAGGACCCAAGCAAAGCCGTGTGTGTGTGTGTGTGTGTGTTTTAAAAGCCCAACACAAACAATTCATTGCACTGCACAGGACATAGGCCAGCCCCTCCGCTGCTATGAATCCTCTCAGCTGCACTGAATTCAGGGGAGGAGAGCCCGTTTACATCCACTGAGAATCCCCCCCATCCCCGGTATGTGTTGCTCAGCTTGTGTTCCCCTGCAACTAATAAAAATGTCTCTTTGTAAGAAACTGGCTGTGTTTCGGTTTCTTTATTTTAGCTTAAAACCAATAAAACATGTCTAAGATGTGCTTGTCGAGAGGGAGAAAATAAACTCCCTAGTTCTCGGAAATTGCTCCCCACTCGGTAGATCATGGCCTGGCTTCATCCTCCTTGGAAGCAGCGCTGCCTTCAGCCACGATTTGTGGTCTGGCAGTGCTCGTGTTCCTGTAGGTGGCCTGGGAGTAGCCTTCTTGTGACACAGAGCATGGAGGACAATTTTCTAAACATGCTTGTCGAGAGGGAGAAAATAAACTCCCTAGTTCTCGGAAATTGCTCCCCACTCGGTAGATCATGGCCTGGCTTCATCCTCCTTGGAAGCAGCGCTGCCTTCAGCCACGATTTGTGGTCTGGCAGTGCTCGTGTTCCTGTAGGTGGCCTGGGAGTAGCCTTCTTGTGACACAGAGCATGGAGGACAATTTTCTAAACACCGTTACAATGGAATTCTACCTTTATAAAGAGCCAAGATTCACCTGCTCACAAGCCCTGAAATCAGAAGAATAGCCCCTGGCAGCCAGCCCCCCCAGAGCGAAGTATCTTTGATTAGCGGGGCGGGAGTGGAGAGTAGTTGGAGCAGAAAACAGGGTGCAGGATTCACTTTTGGTTCCGTTTCCAGCTTCACTCCTGTCATAAGAACATAAGAGCGGCCGTACGGGGACAGACCAAAGGTCCATCCAGCCCAGTGTCCTGTCTCCGACAGTGGCCAATGCCAGATGTCCCAGAGGGAGGGAACACAACAGGGAATCCTCACGTGATCCCTCTCCTGTCACCCATTTCCAGACCAACAGAAGCTAGGGACACCATTCCTACCCATCCTGGCTAACAGCCGTTGATGGACCTAACCTCCATGAATCTATCTAGCTCTTTTTTGAACCCTGTTAAAGTCCTAGCCTTTACCGCATCCTCTGGCAAGGAGTTCCACAGGTTGTCTCTGGGCTGAGTGAAGAAAAACTTCCTTTTGTTTGTTTTAAACCTGCTGCCTATTCATTTCATTTGGTGACTCCTGGTTCTTATATCCATTTTTTTCTGTCATGTGAATTGATTACTTGCCAAGTGCAGGGGATGTGCTCCCTCCCTTCCCCCCTCTTCTCCTGCCCTGATCTGAGCTGAGGCATTTCACCTCTCCAAGCTGTGGTCTTGTTGTCGGCACCATGGGGCTAGCGCTTGTCCCTCCCACTCTGAGTGGGGTTGGCACCTTAGTGGATTCCTGCTTCCAAAGCAATGTGAGGCAAAAAGGCAACATGTGATGATAGAAGCATAGAACGTTAGAACTGGAAAGGATCTCGTGAGGTCGTTGAGTCCAGTCCCCTGCCTTCATGGCAGGACCAAGCGCTGTCTAGATCATCCCCAATAGATGTCTATCCAACCTGCTCATTCTGCCAGTGTCTATCCAACCTGCTCAATCCTGATCATTCTCCTGTCACACTTTGTGCAACCTGTTAAAACCCGTACCGGGCCAAGCCCTTGCCTCCATGAAGCCCATGAGAAAACTCACCTGGAGCTCAAGGAGCACTGGCGATAATGCTGATCTAGAGTGACAGGTCCAGGTTTTTTTCTGGGACTCTAGGCTTTTTTTAAAAAAAAGTCTTTGAAGAAGGGCTTCTGAGCGTATTGGCGAAGGGGAGGCCCGCCCTGCAGGTGTACCACCTCCTGCACATCTGCAAAGGGAGAGAAACTGGATTGTGCATTGGAATAGCTAGAGAGAGTCTATGGGATTCCACATTGTCAGGTAAGAGGCATGTTTTAGTGTACAAAGGAGAGGAGCAAGAAGCAAGATCCTAGGTGGGAGAAATCAGATTGATTGGAAAGCAGCCTGCTTGAGGGATTATAAACTTTGCAGTTCCTCAAGTTGGCATAGCAGCTAGTCCGGGGCGGCCGCACTGAGCCTGGGGTGTGAGTATATAAAAGAGACATTCACCCATGAGACACAGGGTTACTGCTTACAATGTATCATGTCGTGAAAGCATTTGAGGGCGCAACGTTACATTTCGGCAGTAATTGATTGTCACTAAGGCTCTGTCAATTCATGAATGTATGTGTGTGTTCTGCATGCGCTAGGCATTTGGGGGCCAAAGGCCGGTGGTTGGGGAGCTCCAGAAGTTGTGAATATGATCGATAGTCTTGTCACCTTGCTAGTGTGCATGCTGTACAGTCTGACGATTTCAGGGAGGGGAGCTTTGTTGGTTGTTTTGGTGGAAAGCTGTCGTCAAATTGCTAGTGGGATTGAATATTGATATTGTAGGCAAGCCCACAGCCCCTGGGCCTCATGTGCTACGAGACACGCCAACACCCGTGAAGACACGATCCCTACCTTGAAGCGCTCAGATGCAAAGAGGTTAAATGTGGTCACTTGGGGGGCATTTTCAAATGTTCAGAAAAATCTGGATGCAAACTGCTGAGCTGCTCCAGTAGTGAGCATAAGAATAAGTCAGACCAAAGGGACATCTACGCCCAGTTCCTGTCCTCTGACAGTGGCCAAGGCCCGGTGTCCCAGTGCACTAACGCTGCGGATGTTTGGAATCGGAGGGAAGGGTCTGGCCGATCTCTTGCAGCCTAAATCGTATTGCATCACTGGAGTGGGTCTCCATTGTGCTAAGCGTGGGGCTCACTCCAAAGAGCTTATAGTCTGAGAAGATAAGACAGCCAGGAGGTAGCAGGGGAAACAAGGATGGAGACAGGGTTGCCAGGTGCCCGGTTTTGAACAGGACAGCCTAGTATTTGCACCTTCCGTCTGGTAAAAAAAATTCAGAAAATAACAGACATTTAAAGGGGTCACAACTGCATTTGTGGAAGGAGAAAATTTGTTCCTCTTGGTTTCTGAGGACAGGACAAGGAGTAATGGGCTTAAAGTGCAGCAGGGGAGGTTTAGATTGGACATTAGGAAAAAATTCCTAACTGTCAGGGTGGTCAAATATTGGAATAAATTGCCAAGGGAGGTGGTGGAATCTCCCTCTCTGGAGATATTTAAGAACAGGTTAGATAGACATCTGTCAGGGATGGTGTAGACGGAGCTTGGTCCTGCCTTGAGGGCGGGGGGCTGGACTCGATGACCTCTCGAGGTCCCTTCCAGTCCTATGATTCTATGATTCTATGATTTCAGGCCACGCTCAACAGAATTTTTTCCTGGTGGTTTTTTGGGAGGTTGGTATTTTTTGTGACACCATCTAGCAACCCTAGGCAGAGAAGTCAGCATGACTTACTGGAGTAAGCCCAGTGGTTCTCAACCGTGGGCCATATGGCTCCCCAGGGGCCACGCCCTACCTCTAGGGGGCCACATGGAAAAAACGGAACATTAGGTAAATGATGGACCTTTGGGCATTGATCCTTTGGCGAAGTGTCTGAGACATTTGTCCAATGTACATAGCAGACGGACACTTTCGGCACATGATAGCATAAATGATATTTCTGGATGCGCAGGAATATGTGTTCTTGATCTTATAACTCGTTTGGTTAGGTCCAATGACTAATACGGCTACATTTCTATCACTGCTCAAACTAAGGCAGACTTCTTGCTAATCCTGCCCAACATGGAGTCTCAGGACTATTCACCACAGTTGGGTCACACTAGGGACGGGCTGGATTTGGGAGGTTGGTATTTTTTGTGACACCATCTAGCAACCCTAGGCAGAGAAGTCAGCATGACTTACTGGAGTAAGCCCAGTGGTTCTCAACCGTGGGCCATATGGCTCCCCAGGGGCCACGCCCTACCTCTAGGGGGCCACATGGAAAAAACGGAACATTAGGTAAATGATGGACCTTTTTTCCAACTAACAGTAGCTATGAAGGGGGCCCCAGAGGTAAGCAAGGCTCAGAAGGGGGTCACAAGCAAAAAAAGGTTGAGAAACACTGACCCAGCTGACCAGTGGCAGAGGAGAGAATAGAACACAGGTCTTCCTAACTCCCTGCCTCGGCCCCTATGTCATGCTCCTCCTTCCCCCATTTGTTCACTCATAAAATTGCCTTTTCTTTCACACATTGGGCACACAGAGAGCCAGACTCCACCTCAGCCCTTAGCTGGAATAGCACCTCGGCATAAACGACCTGCTCCCTACCTCTAGGGGGCCACATGGAAAAAACGGAACATTAGGTAAATGATGGACCTTTTTTCCAACTAACAGTAGCTATGAAGGGTGATACGTCGTGTTCTGCGGCGCCTCGGGCGGCACTGTAATTCCCGAGGACTTCAGCCGTAACTTAAAAGTTATCTGGAATCAATAGCTAATTCCACCCGAAGGCACTCATCAGGAACTTTAATGCTGAACATGGCGTTTAATTTGTTATTTGGATTTTTTTTTATTTTAAGTGGGGGAAGGGTGATTCTTGCATTTCCAAAGTTCTGTTAGCCACTTTTCCACTGCTCGCATGATAGGAGAAAATGGCTTTTCATTGTCTTCGGCCAAGATTTTCCTAAACCATGAGATGTTTAAGGTGCTTCTATTTTGGGGGTGGTCTGACTTGGGGGGGCCTTTAAAGAGGCCAGATTTTCACTGGAAATCACTTGTTGCTTGGGTAACTCTTGGCCTCTGAAACACAACCGTTTTCTGGAAAGGCATTTTCTGAAAACATTCCATCTCTGTAACAGAATTTGGTGGGGAGGGAATTTTATCCCTGGCCTTCTGGTGTGAAACGTCAACTCCCATTAGGTCTCCAGTATGTAGTGTGCTGTCTCATACACACACACACACAAACACACAAACACACGGTCCTTGGTATGTAGCATGCTGTCTCTCTCTCACTCATACACACACACACTAGATCCCTGGTATGTAGCATGCTGTCTCTCACACATACATACAACAACACATAGACACGGTCCCTGGTATGTAGCATGCTCTCTCTCTCTCTCTCTCTCTCTCACACACACACACACACACACACACACACACACACACACACTCGATCCCTGGTACGTAGCATGCTGTCTCTCACTCATACATACACAACACATAGACACGGTCCCTGGTATGTAGCATGCTCTCTCTCTCTCTCTCTCACACACATACACACACACACACAATCCCTGGTATGTAGCATGCTGTTTCTCACACGCACATACACAACACACACACACACACGGACCCTCATATGAAGCGTGCTGTCTCGCACACACATACACAATGCTCCTGAAGCGTTATGCTCTTTCTTCAAAGACAATGTGCCATTTTGCTGAGCATGGCGCTGATGGTGCAGGTTTGAGGGGGGGTTGCTCTGATAAGACCATGTGCAACACGCGCTGGGGAAAACGCACACAGGGTGTGAGCGAGGGGTGAAATCCAGCCCTGGGCCAGGCACCCGGGAGCCACCACTTGAATCCCGGGCAGGCTCCACTGTCTTAAGCAGCATCTGTGATCTGCTATAGTCAGAAGTCAGAGCCCACGAGGCCAAAGTCACATTGCTCAGGGCTGAGTTTCATCCCCCAGCACAAGAGGGCCATGGTCTGCATGCTGATCCCATTACTGACCCATGCTTGCTTTCCTGAGGCCACTGGCTTCATCTCCAGTGCCTTGCCGGGCTCCGGCCAGCACCCAGTGCAGGACGTAAGAGAACGCCGGTATTCCTCTGCACTGGCTGGTAGCAGCAGGGAGGAGAGAGCCATAGTAATGGGGCATATGTCAGATCCAGGAGTGAATGGTTCCTTCAGACACAGCCCTGAGTGAGGCATGTGTATTAGCAGCATCATAAGAACATAAGAGTGGCCATACTGGGTCAGACAACGGTCCATCCAGCCCAGGGTTCTGTCTGCCGCCAGTGGCCAACACCAGATGCCCCAGAGGGAGGGAACACAACAGGGAATCCTCACGTAATCCCTCCTGTTTCCCACTTCTAGACAAACAGAGGCTGGGGACACCATTCCTACCCATACTGGCTAATAGCATTGAGGGAACAAACCTCCATGAATCTAGCTAGCTCTTTTTTGAACCCTGTGAAAATTCTAGCCTTCACCACATCCTCTGGCAAGGAGTTCCACAGGTTTACTGTGTGCTGAGTGAAGAAAAATTCCCTTTGTTTGTTTTAAACCTGGTGCCTAGCATCACTCCAGAAGAGCTTGAGGGTGAGAGGGACTTGAACTCAGAGCCTCACTTGTGAGGCACAGTTCACCCCCTCCCCAGCCTCCTCCTTGCTCATGGTGAGGGGCAGGGATTTACTGTTGGCCTGCCCCAGCAGTAACTCATTGCCAGCCTCCCCCTCTGACTGGCCAAGGGAGTAGGGGATGGTAGAAAGGCCCTGAGAGACCCCAGGGGTACGTAGCCCCCAGAGCATTCTCATACTCTTGTGCCACCCTTGATGCAGACTGTCCTCTCTGTGGTTAAGCCTGCTCCACTCACTGAAGTTTGGTTGCTCTCCCTTCCAGCTCTGCGAAGCCCAGAGGACAGGATGAATTGGTCCTCGCTCCAGGAGCTCCTAAGCGGGGTGAACAAGTACTCCACGGCCTTCGGGCGCATCTGGCTCTCCATGGTCTTTGTCTTCCGCTTCCTGGTCTACGTGGTGGCGGCAGAGCAGGTGTGGAGCGACGAGCAGAGGGACTTTGAGTGCAACACGCGCCAGCCCGGCTGCTCCAACGTCTGCTACGACCGCATCTTCCCCGTCTCCCACATCCGCCTCTGGGCCCTGCAGCTCATCCTGGTCACCTGCCCCTCCCTGCTGGTGGTCATGCACGTGGCCTACCGGGTGGCCAAGCAGAGGAAGCACCAGGAGGCGGAGGGAGGGAACAGCCGCCGGCTCTACCCCAACCCTGGCAAGAAGCGGGGAGGTCTGTGGTGGACCTACCTGCTCAGCCTGGTCTTCAAAGTCACCGTGGACGCGACTTTCCTCTACATCTTCCACCGGCTCTACGCCAGTTTCAGCCTGCCCCGCGTGGTGCGGTGCGCCGAGGCCCCCTGCCCCAACACGGTTGACTGCTTCATCGCCAGGCCCACCGAGAAAAGACTTTTCACCTACTTCATGGTGGCCACCACTGCCTTGTGCATCCTTCTCAGTCTCTGCGAGATGGCCTACCTGGTCACCAAACGCTGCTGGGAACTTGCCACTCGGCGCCAGGGCAGGAAGCGTGGGAGCAAACCTGCAGGCTGTTATCACTGCACGCAACAGAGCCGGGTTCTTAGTGCACCATCCTCAGGGCAGGCTCCACGTGGGTCTGTCCCTTTAGATAGTGGGGAGGGTGCTGGTGAAGAGAGAGGAGGCTCACACGTTCTCTCTCTGCACTCAGGGTCTCCGGCACAGGCTCCATCCAACAGTGCAAACTGCTCACCAGCTTACAGCCTGACTGATGAAGTAATCAAAGGCTGATTCGAACTAGGGTTGCCAGGTGTCCAGTTTTTGCTCAGACAGACCAGTATTCAAGTCCCCTGTCCGGGAAAAAAAACTGGTGAAAAACTGGGATCATTTAAAGGTTTTTTTTTTTTTTTTGCTCAACCATCTTTGCCATGTTCAGGATTTTTGTTGAAAGCACCTGGCAAGCCTAATTCAAACCCTTTCTCTAAGGCTATAACCATTTCTCAAGCCAGTGTCCATTGGAGGCAGGGTCACACTGTCCCTGAAAAGAGCATGGACAAGTTGCAGAACCAGTCAGAGCTTTGCGTAATTCTATTTTTTTCAACAACAGCAACAGTCGAAAGGGATGACATTTGTGAGACAATTTGCCCTGTTTCTGGCCCATCTTCAATAAAGAGTTGATACATGATTTGTAGATGTTCTAGGCATGTAATTAGGGTATGTCTACACTGCGGAGCTATTTCAGGATACCGAACGTATCCTGAAATAGCTATTCTGCATTTATTGAAGCATCCCATGCTTTCGAAATAGATTTCGAAATAACAGGTGGCTTATTCCGACATTCTGATAACCCTCATTCCACCAGGGTTAAGGAGCATTTCGGAATAGTAAGTTATTTCCAAATTTGGCATTGTGTAGACAGCCCCAAATCATGAAATAAGCTATTTTGAAATACACTTGAAGTAAGCTATGCAATTTGTGTAGTGCAAATTGCGTAGCTTATTTTGAGCTAAGGGTGCTGTGCAGATGCACCTTACAGACTGGCGTTTTCAACGGACATAAACACACTGGTAAAAGGTGCCCCAGATGGTCTGCGGCAAGTGTACAAGCAGCCTGTTGATCTGTAGAAGTCCATAATGGTCCATAGATATTTTCATAAGAGGTCATAAACCATTTGTAAATATACCTGGGTATAAGGTCCTTCTGTGATGAGCTGTGCGCTGTTTCTGTGTACAGCTTGAGGATTCGGTTTGAAATCATGGGCATGCTTTGGATTGCTACGTCCCTTTTGAACGTGAGGTTTGGTCATTCTTCCCAGTTGCCTTTTTACCGCCAAGTCGGACCGGAATTCCAAGGGGGTAGTGGCACAAAGCTAACGCTAGAAGGCTGTTAAACCTTGATGATCCGATATTCACATAGAAACACCCTAAACCAAAGACGGCTTCTCCCCAGAAGAGCTGGGCTATCCAGAGAAAGGACACCTGGCAACAAAGTGACCTGGAAGGGGTCCGTGCTCACCTGTAGACACCGATCAGAAGGTCACCTGACAGAGGTTATAGAAAGGCAGGAGCGGCTCTATTTCCAACAGCTGAGCAGCTGGCAGAAGCAGATGAAGCAGTGGGGAGCCCGGCCTATCTGAACACAGACCTGCCAGGGGTAGGAGCTGGAGTGAGGAGCACTGTACACAGGAGAGGGGTTGGTTTCTAAATTATATGGGCACGCTTGTGCTTTTGCTTTGTACTTAAGAGGTACTGAGTTACCAAACTTCAGGCTGGGGACCAACCAGCTAAGTAGTAGTTCTGCAGAAAAGGACCTGGGGGTTACAGTGGATGAGAAGCTGGACATGAGTCAACAGTGTGGAGGTTTAGATTGGACATTAGGAAAACATTCCTAACTGTCAGGGTGGTCAAATATTGGAATAAATTGCCAAGGGAGGTGGTGGAATCTCCCTCTCTGGAGATATTTAAGAACAGGTTAGATAGACATCTGTCAGGGATGGTGTAGACGGAGCTTGGTCCTGCCTTGAGGGCGGGGGGCTGGACTCGATGACCTCTCGAGGTCCCTTCCAGTCCTATGATTCTATGATTCTATGATTTCAGGCCACGCTCAACAGAATTTTTTCCTGGTGGTTTTTTGGGAGGTTGGTATTTTTTGTGACACCATCTAGCAACCCTAGGCAGAGAAGTCAGCGTGACTTACTGGAGTAAGCCCAGTGGTTCTCAACCGTGGGCCATATGGCTCCCCAGGGGCCACGCCCTACCTCTAGGGGGCCACATGGAAAAAACGGAACATTAGGTAAATGATGGACCTTTTTTCCAACTAACAGTAGCTATGAAGGGTGATACGTCGTGTTCTGCGGCGCCTCGGGCGGCACTGTAATTCCCGAGGACTTCAGCCGTAACTTAAAAGTTATCTGGAATCAATAGCTAATTCCACCCGAAGGCACTCATCAGGAACTTTAATGCTGAACATGGCGTTTAATTTGTTATTTGGATTTTTTTTTATTTTAAGTGGGGGAAGGGTGATTCTTGCATTTCCAAAGTTCTGTTAGCCACTTTTCCACTGCTCGCATGATAGGAGAAAATGGCTTTTCATTGTCTTCGGCCAAGATTTTCCTAAACCATGAGATGTTTAAGGTGCTTCTATTTTGGGGGTGGTCTGACTTGGGGGGGCCTTTAAAGAGGCCAGATTTTCACTGGAAATCACTTGTTGCTTGGGTAACTCTTGGCCTCTGAAACACAACCGTTTTCTGGAAAGGCATTTTCTGAAAACATTCCATCTCTGTAACAGAATTTGGTGGGGAGGGAATTTTATCCCTGGCCTTCTGGTGTGAAACGTCAACTCCCATTAGGTCTCCAGTATGTAGTGTGCTGTCTCATACACACACACACACAAACACACAAACACACGGTCCTTGGTATGTAGCATGCTGTCTCTCTCTCACTCATACACACACACACTAGATCCCTGGTATGTAGCATGCTGTCTCTCACACATACATACAACACACACACACACACACACACACACACACACACACTCGATCCCTGGTACGTAGCATGCTGTCTCTCACTCATACATACACAACACATAGACACGGTCCCTGGTATGTAGCATGCTCTCTCTCTCTCTCTCTCACACACATACACACACACACACAATCCCTGGTATGTAGCATGCTGTTTCTCACACGCACATACACAACACACACACACACACGGACCCTCATATGAAGCGTGCTGTCTCGCACACACATACACAATGCTCCTGAAGCGTTATGCTCTTTCTTCAAAGACAATGTGCCATTTTGCTGAGCATGGCGCTGATGGTGCAGGTTTGCTCTGATAAGACCATGTGCAACATGCGCTGGGGAAAACGCACACAGGGTGTGAGCGAGGGGTGAAATCCAGCCCTGGGCCGGGCACCCGGGAGCCACCACTTGAATCCCGGGCAGGCTCCACTGTCTTAAGCAGCATCTGTGATCTGCTATAGTCAGAAGTCAGAGCCCACGAGGCCAAAGTCACATTGCTCAGGGCTGAGTTTCATCCCCCAGCACAAGAGGGCCATGGTCTGCATGCTGATCCCATTACTGACCCATGCTTGCTTTCCTGAGGCCACTGGCTTCATCTCCAGTGCCTTGCCGGGCTCCGGCCAGCACCCAGTGCAGGACGTAAGAGAACGCCGGTATTCCTCTGCACTGGCTGGTAGCAGCAGGGAGGAGAGAGCCATAGTAATGGGGCATATGTCAGATCCAGGAGTGAATGGTTCCTTCAGACACAGCCCTGAGTGAGGCATGTGTATTAGCAGCATCATAAGAACATAAGAGTGGCCATACTGGGTCAGACAACGGTCCATCCAGCCCAGGGTTCTGTCTGCCGCCAGTGGCCAACACCAGATGCCCCAGAGGGAGGGAACACAACAGGGAATCCTCACGTAATCCCTCCTGTTTCCCACTTCTAGACAAACAGAGGCTGGGGACACCATTCCTACCCATACTGGCTAATAGCATTGAGGGAACAAACCTCCATGAATCTAGCTAGCTCTTTTTTGAACCCTGTGAAAATTCTAGCCTTCACCACATCCTCTGGCAAGGAGTTCCACAGGTTTACTGTGTGCTGAGTGAAGAAAAATTCCCTTTGTTTGTTTTAAACCTGGTGCCTAGCATCACTCCAGAAGAGCTTGAGGGTGAGAGGGACTTGAACTCAGAGCCTCACTTGTGAGGCACAGTTCACCCCCTCCCCAGCCTCCTCCTTGCTCATGGTGAGGGGCAGGGATTTACTGTTGGCCTGCCCCAGCAGTAACTCATTGCCAGCCTCCCCCTCTGACTGGCCAAGGGAGTAGGGGATGGTAGAAAGGCCCTGAGAGACCCCAGGGGTACGTAGCCCCCAGAGCATTCTCATACTCTTGTGCCACCCTTGATGCAGACTGTCCTCTCTGTGGTTAAGCCTGCTCCACTCACTGAAGTTTGGTTGCTCTCCCTTCCAGCTCTGCGAAGCCCAGAGGACAGGATGAATTGGTCCTCGCTCCAGGAGCTCCTAAGCGGGGTGAACAAGTACTCCACGGCCTTCGGGCGCATCTGGCTCTCCATGGTCTTTGTCTTCCGCTTCCTGGTCTACGTGGTGGCGGCAGAGCAGGTGTGGAGCGACGAGCAGAGGGACTTTGAGTGCAACACGCGCCAGCCCGGCTGCTCCAACGTCTGCTACGACCGCATCTTCCCCGTCTCCCACATCCGCCTCTGGGCCCTGCAGCTCATCCTGGTCACCTGCCCCTCCCTGCTGGTGGTCATGCACGTGGCCTACCGGGTGGCCAAGCAGAGGAAGCACCAGGAGGCGGAGGGAGGGAACAGCCGCCGGCTCTACCCCAACCCTGGCAAGAAGCGGGGAGGTCTGTGGTGGACCTACCTGCTCAGCCTGGTCTTCAAAGTCACCGTGGACGCGACTTTCCTCTACATCTTCCACCGGCTCTACGCCAGTTTCAGCCTGCCCCGCGTGGTGCGGTGCGCCGAGGCCCCCTGCCCCAACACGGTTGACTGCTTCATCGCCAGGCCCACCGAGAAAAGACTTTTCACCTACTTCATGGTGGCCACCACTGCCTTGTGCATCCTTCTCAGTCTCTGCGAGATGGCCTACCTGGTCACCAAACGCTGCTGGGAACTTGCCACTCGGCGCCAGGGCAGGAAGCGTGGGAGCAAACCTGCAGGCTGTTATCACTGCACGCAACAGAGCCGGGTTCTTAGTGCACCATCCTCAGGGCAGGCTCCACGTGGGTCTGTCCCTTTAGATAGTGGAGAGGGT